GGGCCTGTAGGCTCTGCTTAGGTTCTTTCCTGCTCTGTGACCCAGAAGGTGCCTCCACACAGAAAGAAAAGGTGACCCTAGGGTCCATGTCATTTGTTTCCTTCCTTTCAGGGGTCACGGTCCTGGGCTGCCTGTCACCAGTATCTAAAAATTTGTTTCATCTATTTTTCCAACTTTCGCTTATGGGAGCACAAGGCCAGTACAAGTTTCTCCATCACAGTGGAAGCCGATGTCACCAGTGTAACTGTTTTTTTTAATGACAGAAGGCAAATCGTAATATCAAAAGTGGTTTTTCAGATGAATATGCCCCACCAAAATTCTGATCACACCTCCACAGAGGGCTTGGAACTTGTTTGAGAATCACTCATCTAGTGAAATCCACAGATTCAAAGCCTTTAATTCAATACCATTTATTCAAATATTTCATGAACCTTATTATGTGGCAGGTACTGTGCTAGGTTCTGAACATACAGAGACGAATACGGCTCCATTGCTGCCTCCAAGACTTCACTATCAGAACGATTACCTAATCAGATTATTACGGTATAAGCCGGTAGAGGTAGTGATAGAGAAACATGCAAAACATTAATGAAGGGGGGGTGGGGAAGGGGAGACAGAGGTACCAAGTCCAGCTTAGCGACAGGTGGAAAGTTGTCAGGGATTGCTTCCGGAGGTGACATTTCAGCTGAGTCTTTAAAGATGGGAAGCAATTTGCCAGGCAAAGAGAGGACAGCTTGAGCAAAGACACGGAAGCAGAAGCAGCACAAAGCGTGCCCAAGAGCCACTGGCCATTCCAGCAAAATTTCCCAAAGAGGGAGAGGCAGGGGATGGAGCAAGAGAGGCCAGCAGAGGTCAGGACGTGCAGGGCCTGTCCTGCCACACTGGGGAGCCTGCCACCGAGGGCTGAGTCTTTTACATAACTCTGTACGGTGGCTGGCAGGGTGCGCTCCTGCCTCAGCCCGCAGCAGGTATTATTCGAGGATGATCATGAAAAGCAAATCTGAGAAACCTCAAAACTCTGAGCCAAGCCAAGATCCCTTACGTTCCCAGGTTCCAGAAAGTTATCTGACTCCTCTGCCCCTTTGCAAATTCAGCTGAGGTGTTTGGCCCTGGTGGTCAACCCACCCTGAGGTGCTGCCTCCTTGGCAGTTGGCTCACGCTCTAGGCTTGTATATGAGGCTGGAGAATAGTCAGGGGGAGAGGGGAGAGGGTGGGGGGAGAGAGAATGGGTGAGACCCAGAGAGAAGAGAGAGAGAGGGAGACCGGGAGACACAGTAGGATGGGTTTCAGACTGAAGGGGGTCGATCAGGAAGCCCTTGAACCCACGGTGGTGATTTCTGGGGTGGAGAGGATGACACGGCCCCTCCCAGCAGACTCTGCAAATCCTTGGACCACCAGGCCCCAAAGCTGAGCACCCAGCCTCACCCCTCCCCAGCAGAGGACGCCTGGGAGAGGAGCAAGGCCTCTAGTCTGAACTTATGCATCTAGACCACGGGTGGGCTAGCCCCAGCAGAAGTCTATTTGCCTGAGCTTTGAGGGGCCCCCTGAGAAAGAATCCATCCTATGGGCTTGACCCATAACGAAGATTGGTCCTCTGCAGGCAAGGAGTCTGAATATAAAATCCCAAAGAGGAAATCCCCAGGGCACAAGTAGCTCTGGTCAGACATTCCTCTAACAAGCATCACTATAGGAAGGGACAGAGGTACTCGTCCTGGTTTTGAAACAGAACATAAAGCAGCACTGGCTCCCTGAGGGCTTGGGGTCCTCAGCTTTGGAAGGAAAAGAAATACCCATCAGCAGCCCAGCAGGAGGTGGAAGGCTGGTGGATGGGTGTCCTGGCAGGTGCCCTGTGGTGGTCCCAGACAGTGCTCACCCACATGCATGAGGCGTGCTCTGGACTTCTAGAAATAATTTGGGGCCCCTTATAGTGGGGTGAAGCTCCACCTAAGCTGGTAGAGGTCAGAACTAGGGAAACTTGGGTTAAACTTCTAATGGGGTCTCACTTACGTGGGTGAGACCTGGGGAGAGCTGAGTTCCATTAGGAAAGTGAAAAGTAGGGACCAGCTAGCAAGGTAAGACCTGACCCCTCCCACAGAAGTCCAACCTGGGGACCTTTGTTCTGGATACGTTTTCTCTTGAATCTTCCCACTTGTAGCAAGTGTCATGGGCCCTAAATGTCAGCTTTGGACAGGCTTCTTCCTAGGCTCTCCCCTCTGCCCGTGGCCATCTCAGACCCATCAAGACCCCTGATCAAACGCTACCTCTGAACACCAGGTGTGGGTGCATGGGTGTCTGAGCAAGAGAGAGGGAGAGAGCAAGTGAGGCGGCAGCCCCATTGCCCAGGCAGCTCTGAAAGACCAAGGTAAAAGACAGGAAGACGCTAAACACAGCTATTTTATTGTCTACCTGATAATTTTCTGTAATTTCCGAATTACTTTCTGTAATTCCAAAAAGGCAAATGTTGGGACTTCCCTGGCGGTCCAGTGGTTAAGACTCCACGCTTCCACTGCAGGGGGCACGGGTTCGATCCCTGGTTGGGGAACTAAGATCCTGCATGCCGTGTGGTGCGGCCAAAAAATAATAATAAAATAAAAAAGAAAGAAAGAAAAAGGTAAATGTTACTTTTTCTAAATTAAATGTAAAAAGTACAAATAAGCAGTACTTTTCACAAGTTTCTGTGCTTTCCCTATGGTCACTCCTGAGGTGTTTGAAGTTCTTTATGTAAGAACCAGGAGGCGTAGAAGGCATCCTGCCTGGTTGTGACAGAAGCCGTTCGGCTGGGCAGGTCAAACTTGACCAATGTCTACCGCGTGGTACCCCACTTGGGGACAAGGACCTGTTGTGGAAGGAGACGGACATTAGCATTTTTCCCCGCTCACCTCCACCGACTCTCAGCTCATCCAGAGAGAGTGATTGACAGCCCCAAAGGCTGCTGGACAGCTATTTGAAAGAGGGGTCCACAGAGAGGCCTCCTCCACCTGTTACTCTTTTCTCTATCACTTCACATCCATAGGGGTCCCTAAGCCCCGGGAGAAGGGTCAGGTGCAAATCTGGTAAACCAAGAAGCCCTAGCAGTTGTCAACTTAATTAGTCTTCAGGAAAAATCTATGGATATATGAGCACAGAGGAGTTGCTATGGAGACAGACCCAGGAGGCGCATTTAGAACAGGGCCTCATCACATCACCTGATAAAAATAAGACCCAGGCTTTTTAATAGAATGAATTACTTAAGTTTTATATTTAACAGGGGACAATACCAAGGCTATTACTGGTTTTCAGAATATTTTAGGAATCCAAGCTGCCTGCTTCTGCATATGTTGGCAGCCATCACAGTATATGCTTGGCTGGCCAGCATTTAGGAACAGGAAGGCCACGTGTCTCTCCCATCCTTGAGATGAGAGATGGTCCTTCTCACTTTGGGCTTGTCCTCCTTTAACTGGGTGAGTGATTTTCAATGTGTTTCTGAGAAAAGGCTGTATTGTGCTCTGCATTGGCCCCTTGCATGTATTGTTGCTAATATATAATAACCCTATGTAGTAATGGTCTCATTTTGCAGATGAACAAACGAGGCTCAGAGAGGTTCAAAATTTTTCCAAGGTCACACAGCTAACAAGTGATAGAGTTGGGATTCAGAGCCAGGCGTCCCCCATTCTGAAGCCCTTTGTTTTATAAGATGCCAACCACGATCTCTGCCTGAAGAATCTAAATGAATCTAAAGAGAGTCACTATTTTTGTTGATATTTGACACGGACCTTGTCATGGTTTAATCTCTCCTCCAAAGTGGTCCCACAGTGGGTGGGTTCCAAGAAGAAATCCGCAGAGATTCTGACCCCCTGCTGATGAGCACCTCTCCAATCATTCAAGGCAAGTGTTCATTTCAGACTAACTTCTTACCATCCAACAGGCTGCCAGGCTGCCTCTTCCTTAAGTCAGAACACCAGCATCATGAACACAAGATCCCTAAGTGAACACGGGTAAGGGAGTGTCTCCGCTGCTCTTGCATGCAAGAAAATGTAAATGTATGAAATCTAGCTGGAAATCCAACATGACGGTTCTTTTTCTGACAGTTTTGCCTTTGGATTATTCAAGACCCTCCTACTTTGCAGAGAGATGCTTTCTTATTAATTATGTTTGTTTTTTTTTTACTAGTTTTCTAACGAAGGCCTACCTATGCCCATAGGGTGCCAGTCTTTCCTTGTTGTGGGAAAGATGGTGCTGGTGATGATAAAGCTGGGTGTGAGGTAATGCAGGTGACAGGGAGGGGAAAGGTGGTAGGGAAGCTAGGGGCCCAATGGTGAGGGCTATGCTAAGCAGAGGTTCGTATATTCCCTCCCCAACTCCCCACATTTTAGCAGCTGCAGGTAATGAGAGAAATCCCCTGGGCTTCAAGGGATCTGGGCAAAACAGACATGCAAGGCTTGGTGGAAATCCTAAGCAAGACATCAATCCAATGGACCAGGCAGAGGGGCAGAAGGCAGGTAGACTCCACAGACTGGAGGCCGGGACCCAGGCCAGGGCAGGAGCTTGGAATCAGAGGGGAGGGAGTGGGGTCTCAGGGCAGGCCCTGAGCAGTGTGCCTCCTCCTAGGAGCTTCCCCAGGCTGCCCACAGCCTCCAGCACGGGTGCTGGGCGAAGCAGCCTGTGCTATTGAAGTAATGCCGTGAGGACCCTTGGCATGTAATGAGCTCAGCGGACTCCGTGCAAATCGAACTTCTACATCAGATCATCACGCAGAGGTTCACAGCACAGGCTTTGGACTCAGGCCGACTTTATACGTTCCGGCTTTGCCACTTACTAGCTATGGTTACCCAGCACCTAAGCTCAGTCACTTAAGCTCTCCCCACCTCAGCTTCCTCATCTGTAAAATGGGAATGAATGACATCAGTCAGATGCCAAGGGTGAGCCCAGATAGGAAAATGGCCAGTGGCCACGGCAAGGGCCAGATGCAACTCCCACCCTGTTGGCTGGGTGAATTCCATGACCGGGACGGAGAGCACAAGACCGACCCTAGCCTCGCCTCCCTCCACGATCCTCGGGACCCTTGCATACCGCACCCCCATCTCTGTCCTCTCTTGCTAAAGGGGTTCAGCCTTTCAGCATCCCCCCAGGCTCTGTGGCCCTCAACCATGAGCTCTTTCCATGAATAGGGTAACGCGTGTGCCCCGGTCATTGCCTGCCACCAAGACTGCCCCACCCCTGTCTTTACCCTTTGCCCTCTAAATGAGGAAGCCAGCGCTGCCAGGCCAAGAACTTCTGCCCAATTTGGGTCTTGGGTGGCCTCTGGCCTCCCTCTTCCCCGGGGCCCCTGGCCAACTCCTCCCTCCCCTCAGGGATGCTCGCCGCTCACTTCATTCCTGCTTCATAGTTGGAATGACAGTGGCTCCCAGCATCCCTGGGTGCCGGGGGTCTGGGGAGGCCGCCAGGCCCAGCAGCAGGTTAGTGTTACAGCCCTGGATGAGTGAGCCAGGCCAGCTGACGTCAGGGTGATGAAGGGCGGCGGGGCGGGCCAGGCTGCTGAACTATAAAGATAGGTCAAATCAAGCAGAACCAACTCGGGTCGGAGTGAGCGGGCCAGCTAGACCGCGTCCCCAAGCCATGGTCCGTACCGGCCGCGGCTCAGCCCGGGTCCCTCTGCTCCAGACCCGAGTGCCCAGAGCAGGCTTTCGTTTCATGTCAGCAGTCTTCAACTGCCTTCCAAAAATAAGCCCCTGCCGCCATGCGGAGGGGAGGAAAACAAGAAGGGCGGTATTTTTAGGGCCATTAATTCCGACCACGTGCCTGAGAGGCAAGGTGGATGGCCCTGGGACAGAGGCAGCTCATCACTATGTCCCAGGGAGCAGGACGTCTGCAGGGCACGCTACGGGCTCTCGTCTTCCTCGGCGTCCTCGTGGGCATGGTGGTGCCCTCCCCTGCGGGCTCCCGCGCCAACAGCACGCTGCTGGCTTCGAGGGGCTGGGGCACCCTGCTGTCCAGGTCTCGGGCTGGGCTGGCTGGAGAGGTTGCTGGCGTGAACTGGGAAAGCGGCTATTTGGTGGGCATCAAGCGGCAGCGGAGGCTCTACTGCAACGTGGGCATCGGCTTCCACCTCCAGGTGCCCCCCGACGGCCGGATCAGCGGCACCCACGAGGAGAACCCCTACAGTGAGTGCCAGTGGCAACCGGTTGGGAAGCTGGGGGCTGGGGCTCAAGCAGGGATAAAGGATGGAGGGGCCTCGCCCTGGTGCCCGGAGTCCTGTTATGAAGGGGGAAGCGTTATTCTTACGGATGCCCATAAGCTTAGCCACCGCCCCTGACTCGCTTTGACCCTGCCTCGGTGCAGGCGTAAGTGTGCTGAGGTCCGAGCATCCTGGTGTCCTCTGCCATCACCCACAGAGCCCCTGAGGCACTAATTCCTTCAGCATTGCAGGCCCAGCCAGGGCCTTGTAGGACCACAGGGAACCCCCAACCTGGGGGAGCCATGAAACAAGGGTTGGGAGAACCGGTGAGGATGCTGGGACCAAATTAGACACACGCTGCTTTTTATTTAGCTCTTCTCTTTGAGAGGAAAGGCAAGTTGTTTGCAGAATTTCCAGCTGAAGCACATCCTTTTTTTATTTCAACTTGCCCCCTCTGTCCTACAAGTTGATGGGTTGCTGCCTAGATGGGCTCTCCCCAGGAGGGGATAGGGCTGCAGGATCCAGTGTTTGCAAGATTTTTTTTGTTTGCAAGATTACATGGGCTATTTGTTGAAACGTGAGGCGTATACATTGTTAACAAAGCTAATCAGAATTCACTTCCTTTACCCACGTCAAGGATGTGGTGTGATTAAGCCCAGATTCAAAGCTGACTTTAGGTAGATGCCTAAGTGGCCACTGTGAACTCTAACTCTGACGTCAGAACTTTCCCCTGCAGAGCTGGATTTGTAGCAGGACTGGCCGAGCCTGGCAGCCGATCTCCTAAAGTGAGATCAAGGGTGGAGGTGATGGAGGGTCTGACTTTCTAGAAGCAGGCGGACGGGCCTAGATGCCCTTGGAGGGTCACCTTTGGGTTGGCGTCCTGCTCTGATCTGCACAAGCCTGGGGTAATGCAGCTCCCATTTCTTTGTCAGGCCTGCTGGAGATTTCCACAGTGGAGCGAGGCGTGGTGAGTCTCTTTGGGGTGAAAAGTGCCCTCTTCGTTGCCATGAACAGTAAAGGAAGATTATACACCACGGTGAGTTCATCAGGCCAGGGGAAGCTTCAGGCTGTACGAGGCCTGAAGATTACGCAATTGAAGAAAATAATGCAAAATCTTGAAGAGGGGCGTGAATGTTTATCTAGAATGGGTCGGGGGGTTGCTGTGGAAGGAGCTGGTGCGAGTGAAGGGCTTATACCTTCTTAGCTGCACGGTGAGTCAGCCTGTGCGCTGGACCATGTCTTCCCTGATCCCACCCACCGCCCCTGACTTACCTTGACCCTGCCTCGGTGCAGGCTTAAATGTGCTGAGGTCATTTAAGACAGAAACCGTAGCTCAGAGGGCTTCTGGGTCCGAGGGAAACCCACGTTCTGGCATAAAGCTGTTTGTCCAGGCTTACGGTCAGGTCCTGAGCAGGAGAGGCCCAGAGAAGCAGGCCTGTCTTTCAGCCTGGGCACGCTGTTCCCACGGCTTACCCTCCGAGGCCCCCAGCCTGGAGCACAGCAGGAGGAGAAGACACGAAGCTCTTTTCCTCACCTTCATCAGTGCGTGGACATTTTACTTTAAGGTTTTAAGTCCTCTGGTCTCTGATCCCAAGAGCTGGAGAAGCATCCTCCCCTAGGATGTAAGACTCTCTTGGCTGGCCCCAGATCCCACCCCCTGCCTTCTCCCATCACAGGTCATCCCTGGCGGGGCGGGGTGGGGGGTGTCAATGCTAGCACTTTGGTTAACCTCACCAACTTCCATATTTACCGAAATCTCTGACCTCTCTGACCCCCTCGTTCCTGGGTCTCTCAGCCCATAATTTGGCATATTGCAAAATATGGGCTGGGAAAGCGTCCCTACGAAGGCAAAGAAACTGGGTGTTCTTTCGGCAGAAATAAGGTTAGAAAGGAAGACCTCTGAGCCGTGGTCAAGGAATAGCAGAGTGGCCATTTATGGGGAGGGTTTGGAGGGCTGTTCTACCTTTGCGTGGGGACAGACAGGATCCGAACGTGAACGGGGGCGTCTGGGATCGGTGCTGGGGTCCGGGGAGGTTGTCCCAACAGACCAGGCTGTGAAATACCCAAACGGGGTGCTCGGGTGGCCTCGGCCTGCGACCTGCAGTGCTGGCACCTCTCCATTTGGGCTCGTTTACGTGGAGACAAGACGTGCATTAGAATCAGTGGGCCTCTGGAGACAAGCGCTGGAGGGTAGGCAGGCGGGAGCTGGAACTAGGGTCCTGGTCTGTACCGCCAAATGCTCTCCTCCTTCTGGCCTGCAGGCATCACCTGCCGAGCCCAGAGACAGGTTTGCACACAGCCCCGATTCACCTGAGACCTGGGAGAGCCAGGGTCCCATCTGCAAAGTGAGGATAAAGGTCAGATGCACCTCTGGGGGTGCTGGGTGATGGTGTGCTCAGAAAACATCCCCAGGGCACCTGACAAACAGGAGGTGCTCAATACAGGGGAGCCATTTATATTGTCTGAACACTGCCATAGGCTCTGCACCCCTCTTTCCTAGAGGTGGGTCTTGTGGGAGGACCGTTTGCATCCACATCGCCTTGGTAACTTGTTACATGTCCAGATCTCTGGGGGCCTTCCTCAGAGATGCTTAGCCAGTAGGGCTGGAATGGGGACCTGCAAATCGGTTTGTTTTTATTTTTTAAGTTTCCCAGGTATTTCTGAGATGCAGGCAGGCTAGGGACCACCAGGCTACCTGGCTTTCCGAGGGCAAGGAATCCTCCCTGCCCCGGGGTTACACTAGCGCTGAGGGCTGCTGGGAGATGAAACAGCCATGAGATTGGGATTCTCAGACGCCCTTTTCACTGCTCTCTGCGTATGTGATGGAGAGGACGAAGCAGCTGGAACCAAGGAGGCCCTGGTGGAGTAAGTGCCCGCTCTGTGCGGCGGGTCGCCCCAAAGTGCCCCTTCCCTGCAGCCGGCGTAGTGCCTGGAATCCCACTCGTTGCAAAGCCAGGAACGGAGGCTGTTGGCTCTGGGGTTCTACGCAAGGTGAATCTTTTGGAAGGAAGCACAAATTACATCAACCCTTATCTCTGCCACCTTCATTAACAAGCTATTTAGTATTTTTTTCTCCTTATCCCGAAAGAAATTGAACTGTGAGCTGGGGAAAGGGTGCAAAGAGAAGGTCAATGCCTCCACTTCCCACTTGAAACCTGGGGCCCCCGTAGGAGAAGCCGGGGAGGCTGGGAACAGGGGACCTCACAGCGAGAGTGCTGCAGGTGGATAGAACTTCAAGGAGCACGAGGAAGGGGGCAACTCTGAAGTGTGGGCTGACCCCTGATGTCGGTGACGCCCCTGACCCCTCACTCCTGGGCAGATGACTTCAAAGGGGGTCCGCAGGGCTCACTAAAGGAGAGGAGTCCCGGAAAACGGGGGCTTCCGTAGGAGAAGCCCCGCCCACGCTCTACACCCCAATCTCCCCCCACACACGCACACACACCCGGGAGCATCTGGCCCAAAGTCACCTTCTTGGAGGCGGAGATTGCCCTCCCTGGCGCCCCGAGCCCGGCACCAGGTGCTTCTGAACCACCTATCCACTCCCTGCTACGCCCCCCAGGGGCCATTATCACAGTCTAAAATCCAATGCCCCCTGATCCAAAGAGCTGGGAAAACTCCCACTGGGTGATGATTTCATTCACACTATTTCCCTTTAAGCCCCAAGAGCTGCCTCCCCTCCCTGTGGCTCAGCTGCTATGGCCCCTCAGTGGGGTTTCTCCTGGGGAGAGGGGAACCATGCTGGGGGGGAAGGAGGGGGGAGCAGGGGCAAGGTAGGAAAATAAGAGCCAGGAAAACCCACCTAGGTGCCTCCCGCAGGTCTCATCCCTTGGAAAGAGGGGTGCAGAGCCTGTGGCAGTGTTTCGACAGTGTAAGTAGCTCCCCTGTATTGAGCACCTCCTGTCTGTCAGACGCCCCGGGGATGCTTTCTGAGCACACTATCCCCCAGCACCCCTGGGAGGCGCATCTGGCCTTTATCCTCACTTTGCAGATGTGACCGTGGGTCTCCGGGGTCTCAGGTGAATCAGGGCTGTGTGCAAACCTGCTTCCAGGTTTAGCAGGTGATGCCCGTAGGCCGGCAGCAGAAGCGCACCTGGTGTGCAGACTAGGAGCCGGGTTCCAGCTCCTGCCCGCCCACCCTCCAGCTACTGTCTTACTTCGGGCAAAGTCTGTGACCCTCTCTGAGACCAGACCTCTCTCTGCTCTCTCTGATGTGGCAGGAATCAGTGAGTTCCAGTCTCCTTGATCTTTTTAAAATTTAAAAGGTAAAAATCAAAGGTCTCCACCTGGCAGTGGTTCTGTGAGAATCCCTGTGCTTTAGAATCAGTTATGCCTCTGAGCGATTTTGGTTTTACTAATTAGAAGTGTGTCTCCATCCTTTTCATCAATAGTACTATGACAACTGGCAAAGCACAGCATTTGTTTCATCCACAGAGGCCGTTGACCGTTACCTAGGACGTTACAATTGGCGAGGGGAGGACCAAGTCTTTCCCTCACTCAGTTAGCTGCACCCCTGCCCTAGAGGAGAACGCATTCCTGAGGGGATGAGGCAAAGGGTCCCTGGTGTTAGACTACGTGGAAGGGCCGGGAGATGGGACCCCTGAGCAGGGAGGGGCTGGTGCTACAGTGAGGGGCCCGGGGGACCCTACAGACGGTCTCCCAAACAGCTTTGTCTGCAGCCCGCCTGCTACCCAGAGGGATACAGGAATGAGAAGCCATGATAGGCCTGGTGGAGACATCTTCAGACACTTCTAAAGTGCCGGTGCGATTGTGTGTTAGGTACGGGGATTAGAACGGACAGATGTCTTCAGAGCCGGGAGATGTTATTTCTCCATTTCAGCTAAGGACCAAAAAAGTAGCAGTCAGGGACTGCAGGAGGAAAGGGTCTTAGGACAAGGAGTTTTCTGGTTTTTTCTCACCACCCGCCTCCTTATCCATCCACACCCCTCCCCAGCTCCGTTGCACACACGCAGCCAGGAGTAACGGGGGCAAGTGGCCCAGGGCAGGCCTAGAAGGAAGAACTTTAAAGATAAAAAGACACTTTCATTAGTCCGGGTGACCTACTGACCAAAGACAAGATGGAATGGACGTCTGGTCCACCGCAGACTCTAAGGGGCATTTCCGCCAGAGGTGACTCACGCCGAGAGACACCCCTGTATGTACCCCCCTGCAAAACGCCCTTCTCCACTACGAGAGCCAAATGCTTTAGAGTCTGGGTCCTCATAAGTCTGATTAGGCCTATGTGGAATTGAAGACATTGTCATGCTGGGGCTTGGGACCCGGCAGGCCCAGGCAATGTGATCTGGGGGAATTCTTTTCATTTGTTCAAGTAACAATACACGGTAGCTGCTTTTATTAACATGTCGTTCGCTTGGCTTTCCTCAGCAGAGCTCAGGAGCCAACGTTCCTGAGCCATGAGACTCAGCGCAGGGGCACGAATGGAGAGATGAATCGGGGGGCTGGTCCTGATGCCAGCTCGAGCCTCCGTGTGGGCAGTGGAGCATCGGGCTGCAGGGAGCAGTTCAGGGCCATGGTCTTGGCCTTGCCCCCAGCCGCGTGGCCACCTGAACACCAAGGACGGGGTGGAGAGGGGTGCGGGGAGGAACGGGCAAGGGCGAGGTAGAGAGGCTTCCATAGCAAACTTCACCCATTTCTCCTTTCTCACTTCAGATGGACACAGAATTCGGGGGAAGGCTAGGGACGTGAGGTAGGCTAGGGGAAAGAAACAGAGGTCAGAAACTTTTTGAAAATTTGGGGTTGGGGGTTGAATAATCAAAATCTGACGATCAGAGAATAAAGCACAGTGTATATGCAACCACTGTCTTGCGCATTTAAACAGATGTGTTTTAGGAGACTCAGACCTTAGCAAAGGCTGGATTCTTCAACTGGACACATTCTAGATCAGAGGATCGGGGCAAATGCCCTGAGTTTCTGGTCCCAATCGCTCAATTCCTCCCCCTCCCCCACCCCCACTCCCCCCAGGTCCTTCGCCCCAAGATCTGCATTCCTCTCTAGAGTTTGCAAACCACACGCGAAACCTCTCCCTTGACCACCATCCAGATCAGAAATGAAGTGTTCTGGAAACTGGTGGGCAGGGTGCTCTCCAGGGTCATAAACAGTTAGAACAGAGGGGAGAGAAGCAGGGGATGGACAGGGGGAAGGACAGGACCCGGGGGAGAGAACGGACCAGTCTCTGATGCAAAGGTTCTCTCACTCCATTTTCTGGCCCATCTTCTATCCTGAATTCCCTTCCCATTTTCAATAATCTACTAACATGACGAGGTAATACATGGACGTGGTTTAAGGGGGAAAACGTGCAGAAGAATATACCACGGAAATGAAGTCTCCCTCTCACTGTTGTCTTGAAGCCACCCAGACCCTCCCCAGAGCAGCCACTGTTGCCAGGCCCTGTGTACCTACCGTCCCAGGAAGTCCCAATGTCCCTGTGCATGTTTTCACACTGGCCTCAGTTTTTAAAACCACACGAACTGGGGCAGACTAGCCACACAATTTGAATCTTGCTTCTTCACTGAACAACAGGCCTTGGAGACCGTTTCAAATCCGTGCGCAAGGAGGTTCTATTTCTTATGGCCGAGAGTATTCCATTGGGTGGCTCTCCCATCACCGAGCTAACCACTGCCCTCCTGGTAGACACTTAGGTTGTTTTTGGTCTCTCACTATTACAAATGATGCCGCCGTACATGACTTTTGTACATGAGTGGGAGTGAACCAGTAAGATAAATTCCTAGGAGTGGAATTCCTATCCAAAGCTGTAGTTATTATTTTATTCTAATAAATACTGTAAAATTTCTCTCTATAGCGGTTATAACAATATACACACCAACAGACAACAAATGAGAATTCCTAGTCCCCTTGCCCTCATCAATGAAAGCCCATTGTCAAACAGTGTTCTTTCTGCAACTGACAATTAAAAATGTGATCACACAGTTATGGTTGATGTTTCTCTGTTAGGCACATGTTCTTATGTTTAAATGCTATTTGTATTTCCTTTTCTGTGAACTGTCTGTTCATAAACGTCCATTTTTCAGTGAGTTCAGGGTTCTGGATATAGTAGCAAAATTCAATCTATTGCAAAATATATTACAAAATATAATGCACTGTAAATATTTTTAATCCGGTTTGCTATTTATATTTTTATTTTGTTTAAGGTGATTATTCTTTTCCAAGCAGAAGTCTAATTTATTCATCTTCGTTTTTAAAATGCCTTCTAGTTTTTTGTGTCCTACTTAGAAAGACCTTTCTGACTTATTTTAAGGTTCTCTTCTCTTTCTCTCCCTTATTTATTTACTTACTTACTTACTTACTTATTGCTGTGCCCACGCGTCTTGTGGCGTCTCAGTCTCCCCACCAGAGATTGAACCCGGGCCTCTGCAATGAAAGCCTGGAATCCTAACCACTCAGCCACCAGGGAACTCCCCTTAAGGTTCTCTTTTTAACATTTAAATCTTTGTTCCTTTTGGAATTTATTTTAGTGTTAGGAATAAAATCATACATCAAACCTTATTATTATTACTATTATTATGATGATTATTAAAGATAGCATCCAGTTCTTCCAACACCACATTTCGCCAGTGATTGGAAATGCCACTTGTATGTTATGTTCATTTCAGATCCACCTTTATTTTATGTTCCTGTTTGGATTTACTTCTGGACTGCATTTTGTTAGTTGATCCACACCAGACTATTAATCCATGTATCATTACTTCTACTCAACTTTTACCATTGATCCCAACTTTATTTTTCCCTTGTGCTGTTTCTCCAGAGTTTTGCCCATCGACAGCCTTAGGTCCTGTGGCTGCCCCGACCCCCCCATGTCCAGAGAGGCCCCAGGGGTGCGGGGCCGGAGCCCAGTCAGCTCTGTGCCCTCCTCCCCCAGGCTCACCTCCTACTGCCACTCAGGCAATAAATGCAGGACTTAGAAGGTAAATTGTCCTGCAACCCACAGCAAGTTTTACAGGAATGATGATTCTGGGTAAGACAAAGTCTTTTAGTGCTTTTAATTTAAACTAACTCATGAATCAATTGGAGAAGCATCACTATGGCAATACAAATAATTTTTTATTTTACTGTGTGCCAGGCATTATACCAAGGACTCTCCATGCATTATTTCAATGAATGCTCCCTCCAGGGCTAGGACGGAATTATTCTCACTGTTCCCATTTTACAGATGAGGAAGCTGAGGCTTAGGAGGTAAACTCATTTGCCAAGTTCACACAGCTGTGTAAGAGGTGAATCGTCACATGCTCTTTGCCTATTTTGATGAGTTTTTTTTTTTCCTACTTTGGGACATTCCTTTCTTCATTCTACAAGTGTTTTTGAGCACCCATAACAAGGGAGATGAAAACTTGTGAAAACAGAGCTTCCTGGCATGGTCTTCAGAAGCCAGTTGATGTGGCTGGTGGAAGCTCGCAGGGTCATCTCAAGCAAATTCACATCACAGGAAGGTGCTCTGTACGCAGTAACCCAGGGGCGTGAGAGGGAAAGGGGGGATGCGTTCATTCAGCTGGGGCAGAAGGGACCAGCGACTGGTACTACCCGACGTGTTTCCTAAACAACGCCGCCTGTCCCTTGCCAGCTCTCGCTGCATCAGAGAGAAGCCACCCCTGCAGGGGCATCCGTGGGTGGCTGTGCCGTTCCAATTAGACCATCATTCATGCAGCATCACGTGCTCAACAGGACACAGTCCTTGTCTCAGGGAGCCGGGAGTCCCCTGGGATGGTGCACTGTTTTCCGTGCTGCCGGACTGGTCCACTCGGAGCCCCGAGGAGCTGGCTCATCCTCCTCCGTTCATAACAGGAAGAGGCTCTCGTCCACCCTACGGCTGACAAGGCCAGGTGCTCATAGTATAATTCCTTTTAAGAAGGTCAGGCGATACCCCTAGCACAGCCGCTTAGCCACCGAGTGGGTTTTTTATAGCCGATGGCCTCAGTCGGCAGGAAGGAGTCGGGTGTTATGCTCAGCTCTGTTTCGGTTTCATTCTACATTTCTTTAATGACTAGATCCCAGGCCTCCTGGCTCCCAGGGAGCGACCCCCATCGGAAGCCCAGAAACCCCTCCAGTCCGGGGCAGTGACCCGGGTGGGCTTGGGAGGAAGTGGCTCTCTTTTCTAGGAATAAAGGAAGACTTGGGTGATTTATTGGGGCTGAACTTGTTGATGTGTCCTTGGCACTGCTGGTCACAGAGGGAACCAGGTTCTTTCCCCCATGAAAGTTGCTGCTCCTCGCCATCTCTGTCCCTGCCCTTCCCTGGTGACCTGTGGACGCCCAGGAGGCACTGGGCATGTTGTTCAGTGAAGAAGCAAGGTTCAAGTTGTGTGGAGAGTTTGCTCCAGTTCGTGTGGTGTTAAAAACTGAGGCCAGTGCCCCCCATTCTAGGCTCAAAGTCAAAATCGAGAATGGGCCCCTTTAAGGGGCAGCAAACTTGGCCCTTAAACTGGGAGAGACAGGGTGAGGGAACACAAGTGGAGAGACAGTTACCATATTAAACAGATGCGCTGGGAAGGACTTAGGAAGCCATGCATCTCGCCCTCCACTCGCCGCCCCCGCCCCCCGCAAACGCTCCGCAACCATATGGTTTGCAGAAAAGGGAATCAGGCTGGGAGGGGAGGCGCCTGCCCCAAGGTCACACAGCTAGAGCCACCAGGCAAACCCCAGCTCTCTATCCTGCCGCACTAGGTCCTCTCGCAGTGGACTTGAGAAAACAGCTTCTTTTATCCTTCCCTGGTCCTTTCTCTGAATAAACCATCATCCCTGTTCTTGGGAGAAAGTGTCCGGGACTGGCAGTCAGGAGAACCCCCAGCCCCCTTGTGACACAGGCTGTCCACCCCCATCCCCGGGCCTGGGCTTCCTCATCGTGAAGGAGGGGAGGTGAGGGGGGACCACGAGAGCTAAGGCTCCCCTGTTCTCAGCTTCCATGTTTCTGCTCACCCAGGATGGCCCAGGGCTCCTGGAGGCTGTCTGACATGGGAAAGCGAGGGACCCACCGCAGACGTGCCTGCTGGGCCTCACGTATCGCTGATGCTCTGCCGTTTGTCCATTTCTCTCACAGCCCAGCTTCCAAGAGGAGTGCAAATTCAGAGAGACCCTCCTGCCCAACAATTACAACGCCTACGAGTCAGACGTGTACCGAGGCACCTACATCGCGCTGAGCAAATACGGACGGGTGAAGCGGGGCAGCAAGGTGTCCCCGATCATGACCGTCACTCACTTCCTCCCCAGGATATAAGGACCCTGAAGGAAGGCTCACAGGTGGAAAGCAATGTCTTTTCTGTTGGAATTTTGCACAAGTGAACAATTCCCCCCTCCCCCCATGCCCCCCCTATTCGGGCTCCTTTTATGCTTGGGGGGACCTGAGTCGGTTCCCTTGGCCACCGGACCCCATGACACGTGACCCACCCAAGCGAGGGGTTGCAGCCGGCATCCTAGAATGGCAATGGATCCCATGCTCTGACCTCATCTGAGGAAAGACGGTCCAGAGACACTTGGGGGGTGGGACCTTGGACACAGGAGAAGGCAGGTAGGAAGCGTGTGTGTGTGCTGATGCGTATCTGTACATCTTGGTATATATCGTCAGAACCAAGGCATCTCGGAACAGCAGGCTCCTTCCTCCCGGGGTCATCGCTTCAGGAATCTGCCTGCAGGAATGTCACCTGTCAACCCAGCAGGATTGACACGTGCTCCCATTCTGCCTCTTTCCAATCACCTTTCCATTCAGAGGCCACTGACTGCGCGGGTTGCGTGGAGGTGGGGGCAGCAGCTGTCCTCTAAGTGCAGGGAGGGCAGGGTGACAGGCAGTAAGATTTAGCTGCTGACCAGAAGGAGTGGGCAGGTACTCCGGGCATCCTGCGTGTGAGGGCTCTGGGGACACTGGGACACATCGTCAGGGAGGCTGGGGGAGAAGGGATCCCCCTCTTGGAGGAAAGGGTAGAGCAGCGTCTCTGGCAGCGGGGGGGAAACCTGCTCGAAGCAGCGGGAGAGACCGAGTGTACTAGAGAGAGCCTTTCTGCCTGGAAGTCAGTGCTGCGCGTAGCTCGAGAACAAGCTGGGGCCAGGCTGCCTGCCCATAATTTTTCCTCACCTTGAACCAGGTCTTATTTTAACCTCAGATGACAGGGATCCTAATAATGGCAACCTCTTTGGCGAGGGGTGAGGGGGTACAAAATAGGCCACGAAGGAAGTAGAGAGGCTTTGGACTACAGATGCTAATTCCTTTCCAGCAACGTCCAGGAAACTCACCCAAGTTCTCATCTGATACTCTCACTTCCTTCTCGGGCGTCCTCTGCCACATGCGCTGGTGCCTGGGCGCAGCGGAATCGGGCATCGTGACCTCCGGAGTTTGCCCCCTCTGACCCCCCTACGGTAGGAGAGGAGTGATAATCCCGTGAAACAGAGCAGCCCAGCTGAAGCAGCTCCTTGCCGTACCATGCCTCCTTGCCTCCTGTCCTTGGAGAGTATTTAAAGAAGAGGTGCCCCAAGCGACTATAAATGTTGTCCTCCTGGAGCCTTCAGATTCCTGAACCATTGGAACGTTCCTAAACCTGAAACAAGAGAGACCCGTATCAGAGCACAGATATTTTCAGTGTCTGTGGCTTTGCAGAACGAGCTGACACCCTCTGCGACTCTCGGGGGCCCCAGCCTGCGAGACAAGCCCTCATCTGCTGCAAATACCTTCGCCTTCGACATACCTCTCTATTTGCAGAGGTGGCCATCTATAGATTGACCTGAGATGAGCTGAGGATAGAGGTTGGCAATCCAAGGAAGAGACGCCCTACTGGCTGTCTCCCCGCCTGGCACATATCAGGGCAGGTGCACGCTGGGGGAGGAAGAAAAGGCTGCACCACGGGGGGCGAAGACGGAACGGACAGTAAGAGCTCAGGACGAGAGTGGTGAAACCTTGGATAGAAACTGGACCGAGTTGAGGTCTTGGTCAAGCAGAAGGGGGAGAAAATTGGTCCATCTTGACTGTTCAGAAGATTTCAAGTGTAGGTCTGCTTGGAGGCAGGGGACAAAGCTGATTGTTTTTCAGGAGGTCTTGTCCTGAGTAACTGGTCTTTTTTAACAGGGTACCTCGGAAACAGATGCTCTCAGGACCTGACCTGCATGTCAGCTCCAGCTGAGACGTGGTGGGCGTGTAGGAGGGCTGGGTGGACAGATGGACCGCGATCTGGAGAGGAGAAGAAAGTCACAGGTCCCAAACCATTCATTCCCTTCTTCCCGGGTCTTGAGCTCCCTTGCAGGAGAGACTTTTCTAAAGAGAGTCGAGAGCCTTCGAATGGTTAGATCTTTCCTGCAACTCCCTAAAGGCTTATAAAAGTGCCCAGATCCTGACCAGGAGTTTCCCCAAATGTCCACTCCCATCTCTCGTGTTAGGAGTGAGAATGAGAAACTCTGAAATCCCAAAGCCAGCCAGGCTTGATACCCGTTGCTCTAGCATACGGGTTGTCTAAGGTTGGCATCACTATGGGCAGCTGGGCATCTGTTCTCACTGGTACCAGGGCCCGTGCTGTACCAGTGGGTCCATACTTTGAAGGTCACCTCTGGAGGTAGGGACGCATCACTGAGTGTTTCAAATCCTTCCCATCCAAAGGAATTCTCCCAGGGCTTTCTCTTTGACCTGTGAGTGACTTAGACTTAGGAAAAGTCCATCCCCATCCGCAGAAGTGGGTTACGGGGCGGGAACACAGTGAGATCAGCACAGGTGTGCAGAATCCTCTCCTAGCTGATCCCCATCTGAGTTCTGAACTCACCTGTCAGCCCCATCGGACCCAAAAGGCTGCAGAAGAGGTGGCAGAAGCAGGAGAACAGGGGTGTCCCCACCTTCCCGCTGAGGATGTATTAAGAATGACTTGGGTCTTCCCTCCCTCCCCCAGATCCTGAGCTTTGACCCTGGTTCATAGCGTTTTGTAGATAACTGGCCTCTCTTCCTTCCTGAACCTTCTCTAGCAGCTCCATGCAAAGGTGGGGCTCCAGGAGCCCAGAGGCTGCCTTATTCCCTCTTCAAGAGCAAACGATGAGGAAGAGAGCAACACACGTGCACCCCTTGAGATGGCTTCCCAGCTGGGACGAGGTTAGCTCAGAACAAACTGGGGGCCCAGGACCACAAAGAATCGGCACCCTCCTCGCGGGGCCCTGGATAGAGCTCAGAGGAAACCAGAAAATGCCCTGCTAGTTCCTGCTGTTGACTACAGTGACCATTTGCTGCCTTCTAAGCCCTTCCCTCCCCGCTTCCCAGATGGGTTTGCACCTCCCTGGGAAAGCAGCTTATAGCTTTGTGATGGATACCCTGCAGTTCTCCTTCACAGCCTCCTCTCCGCCCCCATGTCCCCTGCACCTCCTGCGCACATAGCCCAAGCCCCTGGTCAGAGCCGTTCTATGGCTTAAGAAAAAGGGGGTTTTCTCCTTCCTCCATCCAGGCTGTAAACCTCTCTCCTTTAGACGCACTGCTTTCTCCCCAGGCCTGGAATTCTCTCCCAGCCCCGTCCGACCCGGGACAGCTGGGGTTCTCCTGCTCAGGCTGGCTCTGGTCCTCTCTTGTCCAGGACCTCAGATCTTTCACATTCTGATCCTACAAGGGTCCTGGGGGAGGAAGGAAACACAAAAGGCCGTGAGCTGTCGGTCTCCTTCTCCCCGGGGTTGGACATCCATTGCCTCGGCCCACTTTGGACCACAGCCACTAGTACAAAGCAAATGCGTCTGGCCTCCAAGATACCAGGATGTCCTCTCTGCCCTCCCTTTCCTTTTTTGCCCCTTTTCAGTGGACACAAGCTAGAAAACTCCTACATATTTCTATCCCAATGCTTTCCCCCAAGGGCTCTGTGTCTGTTGCCACAGAGAAGGTATTCTCTGCCACCCGCCACTCGTGCACCTGTGAAGTGGGTCTCTAATACTTGCCCCCCACCTCTCCTCCCAGCAAGAACCCAGCCACTCGTTCTGCTACCTCCCAGGAAAACTCCAATGGTAGGAATGTTTGTGTCAGGGCCGGAAGGATGGATAGAAACACTTCAACCTGCACTTGCCCCTCAGCTGGTGGTTGCTCTTCCCAGGACGGGAGGGAGGGGTAGTCATGCCCAGAACATCCCCAATCTCGTCCCTCCTGCGGGTAGCTAACGCAGACCCACGTTTGGATGCCTCACGAACTACCAAAATTCCACCATCCGGACAGCCGCGTCTTTGCACGGGTTTCCCTTTCTGAAAATCCATCAGTACCTCAAGCTGGGTCCCAGGGCAGAGCTGTCCTCAAGCTTGGGTCTAGTGGGTAGGAAAACTCAGACTTTGTTCAGTCACGTGTTTGTAAGATGTGAGGCTTCTATTTTTTTAATATGTATGTGCTGTGCACAAACCGTATCGTGTTCCAGCAACAAAGGAAAAGCTCTTTTTATACGTTCCTCTAAACTGTTTGACTCCACCCCTCTTCCTCTGAACTGTTTGACTCCACCCCTCTTCCTCT